CCCACAATGGACACTTTGCACGGGCCATCCACCGGGAGACTAGCAAGATGAACAGGTCACATCTGTGTCAGAATGTGCTACCAATTCTCCCGGCAGCGTGTAGCGCTGGCACGGAGCCAGGGTCCGAACAGAAATTTCACTCCCCAAAATCTTCCCCTGCAGAAGCGCAGAATTCCCCACTGTCCCGTCCTCTTCTCTCTCACGCCCCTTACAAAAGCTTGCTTATCTTAGAGTTTTCCTCGAGGAAAAACATCCTAACCAGATGGAATATTGGTGCCTCTGGGAGTGCGTGTCATTCAAAAAAAAAAAAAAATACAAACATACCACCACCACACCAGCTCCCCTCCCTCCCATGTCCATCTAAGCCACCTGTTCAGAGTGACAGCCAAATCGGCATGGTTGTGGGCACAGTGCTAGGCTTCCTCACCACCTGTAGGGGGAGTTCAGAGAGGTCCCACTAAAAATAATGCTCATTCTTAAAAAAAATACTAAAGCTATTCAAAAGATCAAATATCCCCCATCCCCCCTCCGGCCCCTGCAAGCTGTCATACCTTTAAGGCAAATCAAAAGCAGGACAAAAAAAACTCTTGAATATCCTTTAAAAAAAAAAAGGGGGAGGGAAAGCCAAGGTACGGGATATAAATGGCATTTTCACGTCGTACTGTCTGCATGGAGATTCTCGAGTAAGATTCAGTCTAGACCAAGTCAATCGCATCCAGTATAAAGACTGGGAGGAACGTGGCAACATTTGGAGAATGTTTGGGAGGAAAAATATTTTGCTGGTTTCGTTTCCAATCCCCCATTTCGTGCCTTCAGAACCAGACGCAACTTTGCTTTATTAGGCTAACAAAAACCAGAAGAGCAAAAGCAAACTGTTTCCCAAACGGGTTATTTTCCAAGGCTGGAAAGAGAGTTCATTAGAACTGGGGTTAAACCGGGCAAATTGGACAACTTAAGATTCCAACAAGGCAGGTAGGGCCTGAAGAAACACACCTCCATTTCTGGTTTCTTGATAGAAACACAATGACAAGAAAAACAGAGGGGTTGTGTTTTTTTTTCAGGCTACAAAAACAGGAAATAAAAGGACAAAACATCTCTAAGAGGGGAGCGTTCTATGACACAGCCAAAGGTGAAAAACTAACCACACACTTTACGGCCTCTCGTTACTGCGCTGGTGTCTGTCAGCTCTCTGCTACATGCCGTGCACACGGAGAATAAATAAATATAAAAAAAACCCTTTGCCCTGAAGAATTTGCAGCCTACACACAAGGCTAGCTGCCTTTGCAATTCTGCATGTGTTTATTTCAGAGTCACCTGTCCCTCCTCCCACACAGCCTTCCCGCCAACACTGCATTCCTCTCCCCTCCCGCCCCCTTCAGGAACCTGGAACCAGCCGGCCTGATGGCAGCAATTCACGATTTCAACTAGAACGTACAGCACCGAGCACAATGGAGACGAAACCCACCACTCCCTGCACCCAAAGAGCTGACCATCTCCCAGGCTAGGCCTAACAAGTAGAGGAGACAAACCAAGGGGCAGTCACAGCCTCAGGGGACCTGGGGAGCAAAAGTCATACAAAAGGAAGACACCTTGGCAGGTCAAGGAAAGGATTTTCAGGTGCTAGCTGTGACCAGGTTACCTTCAACCCTCCCATGCCACCTTCAGCCAGGCTCCTGTTACAAACACAGAGCCGGACCTCATGTCCCGCTACACACCGACATCAGGAAGGTGACAAAGAATCAGACCCACAATTTTGAATTAAAACAAACAAAAAAAAAAGGAGCTGAACAGGAAACACGAATATCGCCCGAGCATTTTACTCTCAGAAGCCTTCCCCCACCCAGCCCCCAATTTCACTAGCTACTTGCTCTTCGCCCTTCATCCATAGGGCCCAGCTCTTCAGGGGGCTGCCAGCCCTCGTGCTGTGGCTAACCACACGCCAATGGTACTAACAAGGGAGGATTTGCCCGAGTAACAACCACCAGATCCAGCCCTGAGACTTCCAGATCCTGAGGGCAGGACGTTGCCATGTGTTACTTGTCTGCAAAGCATCAGGAGCACGAACCCTATGTCCAAGGCGGATTGACTGCTGTTTGAGTGGAAGGGGAAACTGAGGCAGGAGGCCTGGGTCACAGTGAGCTAACGGGAGAAATCGGGACTAGAAACTAGCTCTCCTGACTTCCGGTTCTGTACTTTATCCACTAGATCTCGGTGCCTCGCTTACTCAGACACATACAGGCTGAGGACTTGTGGAATTGTTAAGAACCTCAATATTCGGCCTTGGAAGGAATATATTGGGGGCCACCGTCTTCAGTGGATGGCCCCATAGGGAGGCCAGTGCCATGATCCCTATTGCTCAGGGGCCCATGGGGGCTAAGTGACTCACCCAAGGTCACCCGAGAACACTGTGGCAGAACAAGGATTTGACCCCAAATCTCCCCAGTCTCCAGCTGGCACCCTACCCACTGCACCATCTTCCTAAATACTAAAGGTTTGCAGAGAGATTGCAGCATATTCTCCCACTGGCTGCACCTCTGCAGCTAGGAAACCCCCAGAGGGGGCTAAGAGAATCAGCAGAAGGTGTCCTTCGAGCAGCCGTGCATTTTAAAAGTGGGAGCGGACGCGATCCAAGTCCTTGGCGCTCTCGCTAGCACGGCGCAGCGGCCCGCCCCGCTGGGTGCGTATCCCAGCCCAGCTGAAGGTGTCTTTTCTACTTGGCTCTGCCCTTTTCCCAGGGCGCGGTGAGTTTGCAGAAGCAAACAAACAGCTTCCCACAAGCCTGGCTGAATCTTTGCCCTTCCTGTGCGGGGAAGAGGGAGGGGTGGAGGGAGAACCCCGAGCAGTAGCTCCCTGCAAGTCTTTCCTTTCCCCTGAAAACCTGGAAAGGGGAGGCGACAGAAATCACTTTCCTGCAAGCTCCCACTGGCTCCTCTCGGCAGAGAATCCCCCACGGCCTGGCCGTTCAACTGGAAAGTAATTATGCTGCGCTTTTTATTTATTACCCTTTTTTTTTTAATTGCTAAAGGGTGACTCATGTTGGCAGCGTTCAAACACACAGGAAATCATCCCCATTTTACAGCAATTGCCACTCGATTCACTGGGAAATGTTTATTCCGCACACGCTGGTGCCCGGCAGCCCGCGCCCCGGACGCGGTGACAAGACAAAAGAGGGGGGCCTAGGGAGCTAGCCCCAGGGGGACAAGAAGGCTGGGATAGGCCGATGGCCTCTCTGCTTGTCAGACGTCCACCATCTCCTCCACTCCGGGCAAGAGACTAGGGCTGGAAGTGCCAGAGCAGCCTCAATGGACAAAAACACCCCTATTCTTCCCATTCTGGGCACAGGCTCACAAAACCCCAGTGGTCTGTGCTCCTCCCAGGACGGGCATGGGTCCTACCCGCCCCCACCACAAACTCTACATTGTTCCGCCAAATGTCAGCCTCCAGGCCCGTGGGCAGTAGAGCTGGTGCATGAGTCTGGTGCTGCCCCGGCCCCGGTGTCTGGAGAAAGCTAGTCACTGGGGACACCACCCCCAGCTGCTGGAGCCCCGATCGCTTACTCACCCCTCCTCCACAACACCCCCCAGCCCTGCCAGAGGTTCCCAACATCACGCTGGGGAACCCAGCTAGGCGTGGGAAGGGGAGTGCCGGGGCGGACACTGACAAGCCAGATCATGGGAGGAATGCGTTGGAATGGAGGCGCTGCTAGCAGCCCCTGGGAGCGAGCTGCCTGGAACCAGATTTCAACACAATTCCACCTCTGAGCCCATCTGCCTGCCCCACCACCTCCGCCGCTCGCTCGGGAAAGCCGAGGGCCTTCGGAGAAGGCGCCTCGCAGGGCCCCGGGTCTCTCTTTTCGCTGCTGCTTGCGCTTTACACACGGGCGCGCCAGGTTCAGCATTCCACCGCTGCCACCAACGGTCCGCAGACCCCGTCGCTGCTAGCCGCAGAGCCACAATTAGCTGCGTCGGCAAGTCACCCCGGCCCGCGCCGTTAATTACTTGGGGAAGCAGTTTGAAGATTACAAAGTCCCCTTGTCACCAGTGGGTGACAAACGGCTTCAAAAGGTCCCCCATCCACTACCTCAATGCTTCCTCTTCCCCGCCCCCGCTTCATTGTTTGAATAACCCCTTGAAGGTGGAAAACGCCTCCCCCTCCCATTCCAGTGATGTTGTCAAGCTCCCTGTTGGGCCTGCACTTCCCCGCCCCTATTCTCCCCCCTCTCCCCATGCCTTTCCAGCTGAGCTTAGATTTAACTCTGCTTTGGAAGCCCCACTAGTCACAGGAGGAGACACACTAACTAGGTGAGGTAATAGCTTTTGAGGGAGCAGCTCCCTTGCCTCACTCAAGTTTGCTTTTCGGTCACTGTGGGGCCGGGAACATCAACCAGCAGCTGCACAACCATCAGGAAAGGAGCGTTATTTTGTGTAGGTCCTACATAAACAGTGGCCTTTTAAATAAAGACAAACCTTTCTCCACGGCACAGCAGAGGATTCACGATGAGGCAGATCGGGGAATAGGCAGCAGATTCCTCCCCCAAATGGTTTTAAAGCAGGTTGAACATGGGGCAGGAGGGAGGTCTCATATTTGACTGTGCCCACAAGAGTTTTGGTACGTTCGCAACAGAGTAAAAGCCCTTGATCAAAAATAATTACCACGGTGGGGAGAGGGAAGGCTAGGCAAAGGTTCTGCAAGGGAATCATGGAAAACACAGGGAAGGGATTCGCTTCCATCCCACTCTTGAATGAGAAGAAACCCACCAAGTCCCTTGGCCTTGACTCATCGGGGGGGGGGGGGGGGGTTGGTTTTTTTTTTTTTTTTTTTATTAAACATGGAATTTGCCTCTCTCTTTTCAATTGGAATCTCCTCGGGGCAGAGACTTAATTTGCCTTTGCTCCTCTCTTGTACAGTGCCACCCCCCACTGGCGCGCTGCACGCAACCCACCTGCCGCAGAGGAACAAACTAACCCAAATAAGGACAAACAACGCCAGGGTCCGCTTACCCTGATCTCGTTGCGGCGGATTTCCACGTCGCACACCGAATGGCCCTGGTGCGCCCCGCTGTAGTAGCAGCAGAACTGGCACACGGCGACTTGCTCCGCTTCACAGTGGTACAGTCGGTAGGCATTGTGCTGTGGGCAGCTCCAGGCCCGCACATCGTCCGCCTCCACCAGGAGGTGCCCCCGGGCCGTGGAGGGCTGCTGCAGGTGAGTCTGCACATGGGACTGGCAGCAGGGGGCCTCGCACCTCAGACAGATCTTTTGGGCCGGCAAGGGGGGGCCGCGGCGGCAGAAGACGCAGTGCAAGACCGAGGGGGTCTTCTCCAGGTTGAGGGAGTTGAACTTTTCCACGATGTTGGTCAGTTTCAAGTTCTTCTCCAGGTTGGGTTTCTGGTTGTAAGCCTGGTTGCATTCCGGGCAGCGCACCAAGCCGGCCTCTTTGGCCCATGCCTCCCCTATGCAGCCCCTGCAGAAATTGTGCTTACAAGGAAGTTGAACAGGTTCCACAAAGACATGCAGGCAAATGGGACAGATCAGTTCCTCTTCAAAACAGTTCTTCCAATTTTCAGCCATTTCGACGGCGCTATTTATCGTCGCTCCCTGACGGGTTCGGTTTGATCTAGAAACGAAGAGAGCAGGGCTTTTCCCCCCGCAACGGGAAGTCTCCAATTGAACTGCGATTGAAAAATAAAATCTACAGTAGATCCTAAAATTCCAAGGAAAGTAACTCTCAGAGCAGAGTTCTATGGAACTCAAATGCTAACAAAAATTAATACAGACTATTTGATGAAGGGCCAGTGTTAACAGCTGGAAAAAAAAACCCCACAAGCTTTCAGAGTTTAAAGCCCACAATTTTAACAACTCTTATATACAGTTTTGTTTCTTTTGATTCCGGAAGGTGAATCAAAACTTACCAAAGACGGGGGGGAAAAAATCCATACAAAATCCAGTAGCAGAGTCCAAGTTCCATAAAAACCTCCTAAAATTAGAACTCCGGATATGATTTTTCTTGTCTTCGGTTTGCAACTGACATTCAATATTTTAAAGGGACTTTTGTCCACTAACCTGGTCAGACGCCCAAGAGAATAGACAGCCTCAGTTTTCTTTTTCTCTCCCTTCCTTTTCTCCCGGAAGGGGAGCTAGGAATTAGTCCTTTAAAAATGAAAAAAAAAAAAAAAAAAACAGAGTTAAGATCCAAATGGGAGGAAGATTAAAAAACAGTGAATTAAACTGGATTCTTCCAATTGTCCCAAAGATTTTCTTCTAACCCAGCTGAGCAGCAAAACACGATTCTTTCGGTTGCTTTGGAATAGTGAGATCTTGGACGGAAGAGCACTGTAGGAAGACGGGTCAATCATTCAGATGAAATTCCAGCCCAGCGCCAAAGGAACCTCCCAATCCCTTCTTCCTTTCACAAGTCGGAATGAGAACGAAAGAGGAGGAAAAAAAAAGGTTTGGGAAGAGGGGAGGGGGAAAAAAAGACCCATGAAATAAAAATCAACCTGTGCTCTAGATTCGCACTAATGAACAGGCTTTAAAAAAGAAAAATCTTGTTTTAGGATCTGGAAAGATTCTGATGCAAGGTAAAACAACCCAAAGTAGAAACAATAAAACAGAACAGTCGCTCAATATTTGGGAGAGAGCTGGTCGCTGGAAGGAATACAAGCATGCCTTGATCAAACTGAAAAGGAATTTCTCAACTGCTAATGAAGAGCCCTTCCCCCTCCTTTCCCTTCTCTTCTCTGTTTTCTCTCTGACATGAAAGCTATTTCTCCTTTCAGATCCAGCCTGCAAAAAAGGGGGTGAGAGACACAGAGAGAAGCTTAAAGGAGGCTGCTGAAAATGTACAATTCCAGCAGGACCTAGTCCTCAGCCATTTTGAGTTGCCTCTCTCAGTTTGGATGTTAAAAATAGAGCTACAAGAGAAAGAAGAGGGGACTTTTTTGAAAAAAAAAAAGTAATAAAACCGATCAAAGATAATCGATCCGGTAAACGACACCACCCTGCAAAGTAGGCGCCTGATGTGTCACTGTATGGAGGGGAAACTCCACATTGAGTCTGCCGCTGCAGCTGCTGTTGTCTTTTGGCTTTATCATCAGATCAAAAAAAAAAAGCCAACACGCTCATCACGGCCACCTCCAGCCATCTTGGTTTTTTTTTTTTTTTAATAATCTATTTAATAAAAATAGACGTCTCGGATTTTCCTCCCTAGGCCCCCAGAAGAATACAAAAATAATCTGGCAGAGCCGCAGTTTCAGCGCCTCCCGGTCTCTCTGGCCCCCGGTCCTTTGCTGAATCTTCGCCCCACGCAGGAGGGAGGCAGAAAAAAAAAATCAACCGACTCCCCGGCAATTTTTTTTCTAACCCCCCCCACGCCACACGGAATAAGACACGGCCCCAGGGGGCGGCCCCGAATTCACACGCACGCCGCGGGGGGAGCCACAGGGGCGGCCGAGCCCCCGGGCCGGGCCATCGA